TGAGTTCAGAGTCTTCTGCTTATTCCTTAGGTTATAAAGGTATTCCTACTTTCTTAACTTCAATCTTATAACACATCTGGTTGGGTTTTCCTCTCTTTTTACATGATGCAGATCTCTGAAACATCTTTAAGATAAGGATTATATCTTTCTTTTTTAGCTTGTCTGAGGCCAAGTTGACAAGTACCATAATCATTCCAGAGCATTCTTTATGCTCTCCCTGCAGTCTGTAATAATAAAGTAATCTCTCTACCGCAGAGGACCTGGCAGCTTTTCTGTCCTTGTCTTCTAACTAGTCCTCCATCATTGATTTAGGCTTCCCTTTACAAGGACCACTCTTTAGTGGTGCTGAGTGAAGTATGACCTTGTCAGACCAGCCCCATGCATTTAATATATAAAATAGCTAAAGTGCCAAGAACTCCAGATCCATTTCAATACAAAGTACAGCAGCTTCTCCAGTATATATTTATTTGCTTAAATTAATACAACACATCATACATGCTTTTACTATTGAGATAGAAAGCCAGAAACTAAATAATCACATAGTTGGTCCGTTTTTTGAGTTGGGGCTTTAAATAGAACCCAGTATTATATGTGAAATAACTATACACCACATTATTTGCAAAATCTGTTAGGAGTACAAAATGTTAGCTCTGTTACATCTTGTTCAGCTAAGCAGACATGACTTATTTTCAAAACTGTTAATAATTATTAAAAACTTCTTAGAATAATAAATATAGTACTTATATTACTTCTTAACTGTACATTCATAACAGCAGAGTTCAGCAGCACCATATGAAGAGAGAAATTGGAGAATAGATAGTAGACCAATACAGAGTTGTAAAAAGGTGGGTGCAGTAGCATTACTTGGTCTTTCCAGTAACTTGTTTTATAGGACACAGCACAGGATAAACTTCTATTATAATGTTACCTTTGAGCTGCTGAACACAGAGCACCTGTCTTTGCCTTCACAGGCTGGAGGCTGCCGAGCAACCAGGAGAACTCAGGTTCACAAGGAGATGGCTGAGTCCTGATGGCCAGACTCAAAACAGCTTGTTCCAAGGTTACCTACCACTTCACTTTCTCAGTAAATATGTTGTATTTTTTTACCCTCAAATTTTTCTAACCCAACTTTTGAATTTTCATCCACCTACTCTGTTCTGTACAGTGTCTTGCAGAATTCTCCCTGTTGCCTTTAACAGCAGAAAAGCCTCTAATTTAACAAACCACATGCCTTCACTTGCCCAGACTCATTATGGTGTGGCCAATTTACCTTTCCTCTGCACGGCTTCTTGAAGCATCTCAGTTTGTATGAGTTTAGAAAGCATCTCAGTTGTATGAGTTTGTGGCCACTCTTATTTGCTCCAATGCTCTCCAAGAGAATGAAGTTAGGCTTCATATAATAATGCAGGGAAATGGTGTGGATGTGATTTAATACAGAGGTGGTGGAGACTGAGCTTTAATTTCATGTGTTACCACAAGCTGAAAACCCAAATAGCAGAGAAGAGTCAGATAAATACATTTTTTTTTCCATAACATAGCAAGAAGAAGATAGATAGACTCAGATTAGAAAGAAGGAAAAAAAGAAAATGTGTCCCCCAAGGTCCAGGACACAGGCAATGTCTCTACAGGACTTCTGAGCCTCTATTCAAAGCAAAACAAGGAAGCTAATCCCTCGAAAATTAGAAATGGGAAATAACTTCATTATGAGAGCAAATTTCTATAAAGCACTTTCAAAGCTATTAAAAAGCAAAGGCTGTTACTGTCTGTTCCCAAAACGGTGCCAATGTAAATAGCGTGAAAATAACTTACATTTGAAAAGCAAGGTGCTTCACAATGAAGGCTGTTATTTCACTTTTAATTTGTCCCTTGGGACCTCTTTGTAACAAGTGTCTTAGACCCAGCTGCATTATGTTCTGCTGTAGGGAGGACTATCATCTCCTAATCTCTTTGCTTGGGTCACTTGGCACTGTCTCCTTATCTCAGTAATAGTTTTGTTTGCAATTCCTCTGACTGGTGACTTATGGTTTTAGAGGGAGCTCTTTACTATTCTAACATGAATTAGCCTTGGGTGTTTATGAATTAGCTTAATATGACTATGTGACTGGGCACAGTCTCAAGGCCTCATTGTAATGGAATATTCTGTGCTTTCTAGGAAGAATGCAAGAAAAGGGAGTCATATTACAAATTATTCTCTGATAACATGGCCATTCTGGGGACCTCTGCTCCTTTCCACCTGGTTGTATGGGGCTGGCAGTTGCTTGTGCTCCAATGAGAAGTCGGATTGTAGAAGTGAATAAATTGGCTGTAGTGACAGTGTGGTTGAAAGTGTCTGGGTTAACTATTTAGACAACCCAGAACTGTTTGCAGTGATTTCCTTTCCTAAGGACACATCTGTCACTTTCCCTTGTCTGTAAGGGAACTCTGGACTGCATACTTCCAGTAGACATCATTTTTGTGGTTACAATACTATCTACTGGGAGCTGAGCTCTGCTGAAAATGTCTCCTTTGCTCCATTTGCCTGGAGTGCTGTTGATACGTAATTATTTGTTTCTTGGTAAGGATTGTCTAGCTGTCCCATAACACTATCCAATCCATAGACAACAGGGCTTTGCAATGAAAGGGCTGCATGTCTTTCTGCTTTATCCACCACAGAAGTGAAGGGACTTGCTAAGTTCAACTCATCTGCATGATCACCATTCTAGAAACTGCAACCAGGTTCCTGATTCCTTGCTTATTCCTTTTATTATAGGAACTAATATGGCTGCAAAGGTGGAGTGGACTTATCTTGAATCACGCACAGCTGGAAACCATACCACCTCGAGAGAGACATTTCTAAGAGTCAGTGGCTCCCAGCTCTTGGCTGTATACGTTCTCAAATAGGAGTTTTTGTCTGGCAGAGACAAGATATTGCCAAGAAGGTAACCGAAGGACTTGTTCCCATTTCTAAGAGACAATCTCCTAGACCATGCTGAATTTCTACCTGATCGTTTCCCCTCCAGTCTAAGAAAGAATGCAGTTACACACATCACTCTGAAAATCTTCTAATTCTTCTGCTTGACCACAATGTCTTCCTTGAAAGAAAGACGGCTCCTTTTTCAAGAGGAGTTATCTTGCAGTGGAAGCAAGGAAGTTGAATGTATATGATGTTCATCACTGGAAAAACATGGCTATGTACCTCTGAAATACACCTCATTTTGAAAGACATCATTAATTCTAGGCCCAAAGTGACCTACATTCCACTTCAATTTGGTATACCCTTTTTATTTTAAAAAAGTATGTAATCAGCCGTAGAGTTAATTACATTTAGAAGAGTCACCCGTATGTTACAGCTTCTTTTATCAACCGCTTTTTCTGCTCTTCATTCAGAATATTTATTATGCTCCGTTTGAGCCCTGGAAAATGAAACCACCTTCTGCAACCTCAAACTACACAAACCTAGTTTTATATGATGAATAAGAGCTGCTGCCCTGTGAACGCTGATGAACTGGTAGGTGTGAGAATCATTACTTCTGTAGTATGAGTGGTTTCTTATAATCACAGAGAGCTCATGACTCTAGCCTTAGCAAGACATAACGATATGACTATATTTAGTTATAACTGGCTATATATTGAGCATGATACCAAGGTATTGCAAATCAAGAACTTGGCAAGTAAGTGAAGAAGGTACTAATATTTGGAAAAGATGTACCATATATATGGATTTTAACCTTTTGAGCTGGGATGTCAGAATGACATAGGAGTAATTAAATGACTTATTAAATCCATATTTCCTTGTAAGCAACAGGATGGTGTGGGGCTGTTTGTCATCTATCTTGAAGATGCAGGAATCAAGGTTCTGGTCAAACTATTCATGCAATTAATAGAATGTGCTTAATGGAATGTGCTTTTAGAATCTTTGTTATGAACATATAACATGTACAGGAATCAGAGCATGAAAAGCTGGGAACAACTCAGTAAAAACAGCAGAATTCTTCTGAAAGGCCTGGAGTTTACTGGTCAAGCCATGTTGATAAGGGAAAATTTCTGACACCGATAAGAGGAAATCCAAAACCAGTTTTCCTCTGTAAGGTACTGCTTGCCCTGTAAGGGCTCTTTTTTGGCATACCTTCTAAAATAAAACCTGATCAGACCTCTGTATTTCAAAATCATCCTTGCTAGCCAAGATAAACTGAAGAGATAAACAGCAAAATTGCATCAGTTTCTCAATAAAATCACTCATATTGCTTTACATGTAATTATAGCAAGACTTGCAAATGCTACACACTGCTGCTGCTCATTAGATGTACTGGTCTGCGCAGACAGTAGAACAAAATGTCAACACAGTCCATGCTATTTCACTTGAAGAATTGCTGAATACTCCCATACTGACTGAAACGTAGCAAAGCATGAACATCCCTTGTGCCAGAGGAAAAGCTTCTGTGACCGTAATTCCAGTTCTTTCAAAGCCTTACAAAGCTGCCCTTCACCATCTCACAAGACATTAGTATTTCTTCTTAATTTGTTTCCCATTTCTCATTGTAAGTGGTTGAACTAACAGTCACTTCAGTAGATGAAAGTATTTGGACTGTGTTAGCTCTGAGAGTGACAGCACGTTCATGCATACCATGTTTAATAGTACTTTTGCTTATAATGTGAAATACTTAGTATTTTCAAATTTTTTCTGAGGTGTATGGTTAGAAGCATTCATATATATTTAATCAGATAATAACTCGAGCACTAAAGTATGTTGCTTTTTGATAACTAGACAATTGCATATAAGTCTCTACCACCCCAGATAAAGGAAAATAAACTTCTGTACCCACCCAACTGTCTGCTTAAGTATAGGCTGGTTTAAGTATAAAAATGTTATTGTTCAATATCTATTGCATTTCTTGGTGACTTTGGACTGCTTTATTCTTTTAATGTACGTGTTTTACCTTAAATTATTTTTATTAATTTCACTTGTTTATTTCTAAAGACTACTACAATCTTCCAGATTTTGGTAAATTACAGTTCATGTTAAAAGCTATCTGGTTCCCATTTTCCAGCTGTTTTAAAATGTCCATTTTAAATGCCTATAATCATTGTTTGTTTTTCCATTTTTCTTTCCAGCAATTCTTTCAAACTCTTGTTCCTGTGCTTGAAATACAAGTAATCCGAGAGAGAGTGGCCAAGTCTAGCCTTTTCAAAGGATCTAAAGCTGAGGTGTTCTTTGTTGTTTGCAAGGCCTCTCTCTCCTTGACTCTCCTGTTTATCTGAATTTCCTATTCTCTTCTCCAGTTCTCCCTCACTTAGCACTTCTTCCTTCTCATTGCAGCAGGACTCTCTGAAGTCCTTCATCATGCACTCAGGTTTGCCAGACAGATCTTGAGCCACATACAGCTTGTTGTCATTGTGGTGGTACATGGCAGGGCTGTACCGCTCTGCCTCATAGCAGTTGTCTTCCTCTTCTTCCTGGCATGAGCTTCCCTTGGCACTTTCACCATCCGAATGAAATGACATTCCCTTCCCTTGGCTTTTCTGGGAAAGATCAAAGGGCTCTTCCTGTTCCAAGCTTCTCAAGACATTTTTCTGGGACAGAGCAATTCTTCCTCTTCCAAAACCTTGCAGTGGTTTGAGGGGAGGAGAAAAGGAAGAATTTATATATTTGAAATTTTTCTATGTGATATATGGTTAAAAAACAAAACATGAGGCAGCCTTCTATTTCATACTTTACCTTTGTCTTCCACCCAGCTATGTCCAAGTACTTTACTGTTTACATCTCATGGTATCTACTTTGAGACACTGTTAAAAGAAGTACTATTGCATACACTTCACAGCCAGGTCAGGACACACAAAACATTGTGCTGTACATGCCAGACACTTGATGAGGGAGCTAGGAATAAAAGTGAAGTGGTCTGGCCTCTCGTAAACAATTTTTGCCTGTGAACCTACCACTTGCTCCTTCCTATTTTTTTTAAATGAAAACTTTCATCTAAAGCATCACAGGCTATAATCAAAGTCCCAGGTTTTGTACATTTTTTTTCCAGAGGAGTGGAAGAGATTAAAAACATGTTAATGTATTTGTTCTATGGACACTCTGGTTCAAGGTTACTGTTTAAAAATGAAAAGACAATCAAGTCTCAGTAGTCTGTGACCTCCACTTTCCTTAACTTTTCCTGTTTCAGCCACTCATGCCACTGAAAAGCTCTATGCACTAGATAGTGCTTCAGCTTGAGGAAATCATTATAAACAAACGATGATTTTGAGCGGTGAGGTATAAGTCTGAGTGTAGTGCTGGATCTGGTTTGTCTTAATATTTGTCAGAGTGTCTCCTCTCTTGCTGGAAATCCAGATGTTACCCAGGAGGCATCTGTGGACTCAGAGGCGCTCTGAGCATCAGGATGCACTGAAGAAGATTCAGACACTGCAGGCATAGTCCATCTTAATTAAAAGAATATTGACAGGACTGGGGTGAGGATTTCACCCAATAGCAAATATCTACAAAAGCCACTATTTTACTTGCTTTGTTTTGTTTTGTTTTGGCTTCATTTGGTTTGGTTTGGTTTTTTTCCCTCAGTAATTGAATGCAGTTTCTGCAGGATTTATGCAGCCTCACTAGATACAGCTGCTACTTTGCAACAAGTTGTATTTGTTAAAATGGTTCATGAGCAGGTGGCAACCCTTTCAAATTGTCTCGTGTCTGATAAGCCTCAAGGGCTAAAGAATCTGTGTACACTGAAAAGCTCCTAGGCTGTCTTCAATTACAAGTAATTGTGCAACTAGCATGGTGCTGTAGGAGATTTACAGGAAAAAAAGAGCCATTTATTTCATTACCTGTTAGGATCTTTGTAAATTTTATGCCAAATGTCATTAGAGTATGTGTTTTACATATGTGCTAGGCTGCCCTAAAGCTTGAGTTTGAGGAACAACAAGAAATCTTACCCATGAAAGAATTATCTATCCAGAAAGTCTTAACAAACAAAATATCTTGGGTACTCAAAGTCTCAAAACAATCCTTCCTAATTCCCCCACCTCTTTAGATAGCATTGGCATGTGTGCACACATGAGGCTGACTTCAGGAAGTGTATGTGGTAGGTGGGAGATAGGAAATTCTTTGCAGGATACCCTGGGTAGTCAAAGATCCATATACTCTGAGAGGGGGGAGGACTGTCTCCTCCTGTTCACATGCTTCTGTGTAAACTGGGTCTTGAGCCTATGGCCTTTGCCTAACATCAGCTATGTCAATATGGTACAGACTAACCAAGGCTCCTGGACGTAGGGGCATTCAGGCTTCCATTCCCATTCCAGACTGGAACCCAATAAGCAGTGAGCAAGACCCATGAAATCTTTTATATTTTTTGCTTCTGTCAGTTTCGAGTGAATTTATGATTTATGATGTGCCTCAAACACGAGAGAAAAACTATAAACTCCTAACCAAATGTGTGTGGGGAAAAATGTCGGCTTGTCCATGGCTGCTAGGCTGTGGTCTGTCAGCCTCTGCGAATCAAGCCCCTTGAAACTGTAATATTTATTAAAAAATAATGGAACTACACCTTCAGTCAGGAAAGTCATGTCATCCAATCATTCCCCTGGCCAACTACATGTGCACAGCCTTACTAAGGCTCCAGCTTACTCACATTTCTGTCTTAGGGTACCCACATGCTGGGAGAAGCTCTGTGGTGCTGTGGATATTGCACCTTTTCACAGTGATGAATGGGAAGCCCTGGGCTTAAGTACAAGAATGTTTGGTATGGCTTTTTAAATCCTCTGCTCTCACACTACTGACCCTATTCTCCCTAACACCTGATGACAGCAACTTAGTGCGCTGAAATTATTTCATTCGTGTTCATAAACACTGTCTCATTTTGTCTCCATCTACTCCTCCATCTCAGTCTGTACCTCTGTGTCACCAGATATCTAGTCTTAAAGGTCTCTGAGACAAGTGTCTCTACCTTGGGGATCTCTGATCTGTAGCACTGGAGCAATACAGAGAGTTAATAACAACCTCCCAGGCTTATGGGATTCAGTCCCTTCCAATAGCATTGGATCTATGGTACAATATCATGGACCTGTGGTACAAAGTCCATTTGGGTTTACTGATATGCATCTTCAAGTCTCTCAGAGAATAACCTTGCTGAAAAATATTACCTTGAGAATGAAATCCTCTTTCCATGACCCCATGTTTGACTTTCATGTGTCTGGTTAGGTTCCCTTTCAAGGTGAATTTGCTGGGACAGTAAAGGCACTTGAAAGGCTTACTGTCCGAGTGCAAGTGCATGTGTCCCATTAAATTGTGCATTCTGTTAAATTCCTTTCCACACAGCTGTAAAAACAGTAAAAATGAAAATGATTAGTTTGAAGGGGTACTTCCAAGGAGGACATTTTAAAAGGAAAAAGGACCTACTCTTCTCAACTTGAGCCCTGGCAGCTTCTGGCTGGAATTTGTTTTTCAAAGGTACAGGGAAAAGTCCTACAGACAAGAATATGTGGTTGAGTCTGATCCATCTAGGGCCTTCTGCACTGCTGTTTTTTAAATTTGGTGACTAGGACACACAGTCAAGGATTCCCCAAAAGCAGGGAATGTTGTTGTAAGGAGGGGAGAGGCTTAAATGCATAACCTGGAAGGCTCTTAACTTGAATGAAATTCAAAGTGTAACTTTCTGCCCTGGTGAACCATTTAGTTTGTAGTTTATAAATCTATCCCTTAATCAAGAACAACGCCAGGCAGAGATGGAGATACAAAATAAAACCAATGAAGGGTTTCTGTGAAAGGGTCAAGCAGAATATTACTTCTCCTTTAGTGGAAATGAAATGGCTGCACATTTTGCTTAAAGCTAGAAAAAGCAATTCCTTTTTTTCTTTGTTTCTTGCTCCCCCATCTTTCTCTGATCCTCTTATCTTCTGTTTACCAACTTCTGTGTTTCGGTGTCTCTGGTGAGTAAGCTGGAATTTAAAGAGTCATGGGGCTGCAAGAATGACTCAGCTTTCCCTGAAGCATGTTCCTGTCAGCTCAAGCTATTGATCATGCAAGTTTCCCTTTGATGAAACAATAGGAGGTTGGGTTTTTTCATTGTTGTTGTTTATCCAGATGGGTCCTTTTGTAGTCTGGTCCTTTACGAATCAAATGTATTCTCAAGACATGAGACATCACTATTACAAGCTCCTAGTCTTACCCGTCTTCTGGTCTTTTCTTATCAGGATTTATAATTTAATTCTCTTTCAAGTGGCTAGTTCCATCCTCTGCAAACTTGTGTGTTTGCATTCTACTTCAGCTCCTTTTTCTGGAAGGGTTTTAAGCAAATACTTTTACAATCAGATTTTTTTTTTTTTTTACAATTTTTATTACTATATGAGCCAGAATCTCCATTACTGAGGAACTGAAACTTCCACCAAGCAGTGTACTCATCTAGGAGAAAATTACTAAAAAACAATTACTGACATTCCACCAAATTTTTGGTCTCATCGACTTCTGATTTAATTTATTTTGGTAGTAAGATGGTCTGCTGCAGTACTTTTTGTTTCAAACTCACAAAGCCATCACCTGGAATATCGGGATCAAATGATCCTTGGTAAAATAATACTGTATTCTTGGCACTTTAAACCACCTCTTGAGGGAAAATGGAAGCAGTTCATTAATATAAAAATTTGCAGGGGTATTGCTTTTAAATAAAAACTAGAGCTGACTCAATGCTGCAGAAAGAAAGAGTCTGGAAATTTTCACTTGCTTTTAAAAAAATATTTGCTTCAGCTGCATAAGTTCTCTTCCATGATTTACTCTCTGTGATTTTGCTAAAATGAACATTCAAGCAAATAAATCTATCAGCAAAGTGTTCACCAAGACTGGCGAGAAGAACAGCCACTGAAAATGAGTTATTAATTTGTAAAAGTAAGATATCTGATTCCAAGGGTCATCCATCCACAGGATTGTCTCTTCTTTGCATTCAGAGAAAGTTGATATGCTAGATGACTTATATTCAGGGAAACGAATGCACTAAAAAACCACTCTGAAAGTGCTGGAAGGAAAAGACGAGAAGCACTAATAAGCACAGAAAATTCACAAAGAAGAAGAGCAGCTGATTACATCTTGACAGCTGCTGGAACGACCAATGACATGTCAATATTTCTCTGGCTGCAAGAATTCCAATAATAATACCTCTCTAATACCTCTTAGAAGAAGTCTTCTGGTTATCTGTTTGTATTGTGCGTGGCCTGTGTTCTCACCAGCTTTTGCTTTCTGATAGCTACATCTTTACTTCTCTATCTAAACTGGTAATCAAGGAAAATCAGGTTGAACAGGTGAACGGCTAGAGTACTTCATGCAAATCTATATAAAGTATTCAGTATTAAAATGGTTCTAGTAGGAGCATTTATTTTGTTTCTGTCAAGGCAACATTTATTTCTCTTTCTTCATAGTGAAAAGATAGGGGACTTTGTAAATGATAGTTCCTTACAGCATAGAAGTTTTGTGTCTCTGAATGAAAGGGGTAGATTTTCCATTTCCCAAAGTCATGCACAGTCTTAGGGATGTGTAATGTGTTCTTGTCCTGAAATCTCCTCTGGGAACATGAGGAAATGGTACTACAGTGGAGAGGTGTGGCAGGAAAATGAAAGAAATGCAGATATGAAAATTGTTTTTCAGAACGATGGCTCTGTGTGGCATGGTCTCTGGGTAACCTATCCTTTTCAAAAGGCACAAGGCGATTTTCAGAGGAACGTCCATGATGCAGAGGGTGAAGGGAGAAGGTTTGGGGCTCACGTGCTGGAAGACATCAACTCAGAACTAGCTGGGGTTCGCAGCTAGTGCTTAAAGAACAACCTGAGTCTGTAGACCAAACTAGGAAGGTGTACAAGATTTTTGTTTCTCTGTGACAGGGCAGGTGTGTGAGCACTGATGAGCAGAGCGTGAAAGATGACCCTGAGACAACTGCATGGGAGAGAGCTCCAGCAGAACTCACCACTGAATACCTTAGCACTCAAGGAAGTTCAAAGCTCACACAAGAGATCTTGGGATAGCAGGAACAACATGGTTTACTTGTGGACCTTTTGTTAGACTTTCTTCTTTAGACAAAATAAAATTCAAGCCCTGAAGATAAAGACCTGCAAGTCTGCTGAACACACTTTTTTGCACTGGCTTGAGAAATAGAATTCAGTACAGTTTGATAGAAAAGCTGAATTAGGTCAACACTAGATTTTGTCTTCCTAAGCCACCACATGAAGCATCGCCCTTCTAGATTTGTCAGTCTGTTTTGTTTCTTCCCAAAGCGCTTGTCTCTCACACTTTCTTTGGTTTTGATCCTGACCTAAACCCACGATTTTAAGGGGGAAAAAAGTGGAGTTCAAGACATCTGCTGCAAAGTATATTTGACTGGGCTGGAGAAAACTTCATTGCATTCTTTATTGGAGGTCTGAAACATTGCTGACTTCAGCACTAAAAGCAGCTGTAAATTTCATAAAAGCTTCCTCTACAAATCAGAATTAGCACTATTGCACCCGTTGGTGCGACTCCTTCAGAACTCTTCAGTGGTGTTTTTTTTTTTTTTTTAAACAGAAATAAACAAGGTAGCACAGGCTCAGGCCTTTAAATGCTACAGAGAAGTTCACTCGTCAGAGAAAAATCAAACACAGATCCAGGCTGTCGCTGGATAAGGAAACAGAAGGGACAACTATTTGGTACTCCCTCGCTTCAGATAGTCTGTGCTTAGCTGTGATTAGACACATAGGAAAGCCTCATGTTTTCTTTTGCTGTGAGAAAAAGGTTTCCCTTGCATTCTTCTTCTTTTTTCTTTTTTTTCTTCATAAGAAGGGTGTTCCTTTCCTCAAAGAGAGAGGGAGAGGGAGAAAGACTGTAAACTGTCCAAAAGGACCGTGAGAAAACAGGAAGCTTTGAAAAGTACAAGAGAAAGCAAGATGAAATCTATTTGCAGGCGTTCCCGGGGGACATGTGAGCCATTGTTAAGCAGGCTGTTCATACAGCTATATCCTTCCTTCTGCTGAGGAGGAGCTTGGTGCCAAAAGGCTGCTATCTGGTCATTGCCTTAACCCTCTGAATACCAGCCAGAAATACTTGCTCGAGTCTTTTGAGGGCTCTGCCAGAGAGGCAAGGGATGCTTCTGACACCAAAGAGCAATTCCTGATTCTCCCTTTGCTTATTGTTACAACCTCTGCTTCGTTCAGGGCCAGTGATGTTGATTCATTCCCCTTCAGCCATAGCAGAAACTGGTTCACTGTGCTTACTTGTTTCTTTCCTCCTAGGAACATTGGGTGGGGACAGAGAAGTAAAAAACTAAGAAAAACAGGTGTTCCTGTAGAGCTTTTGTTGCTGGCTGGAAAACATACTGGTAGTACTCCAGTTCCTGGTTCAAACTATTGCCATCTCTAAGTTTTACTAGTCTGTCATCATCAAACCCTAGCCTGAACACAAACTTTCAGCTTATTTGCACATACCTAAAAAAGAGTGTGGGTCCAGATACCACATCCAGAACAGCAGATCAAACAATTGAGTTTCTTTTCTGAAATTTGAGGGGTCAGAGAAGGACTTTGACCAAATGGGAACAAAAAGACAGGTTTGCAGGTGTTCTCAAAGAATGAAAGTCTCCAGCAGACTTGACATGGAAGTACTCAAGCATTTCAGTAACAGAAATTATTTTATCAATATAGAATAAGTCCTAGTATACAAAATAACATTTTAATATGACATAAATTAAAATGAAACAACATGATAAAGTTGAAAGACCTGCTGTTATTTTTTTCAAAGTGACATGCGTCAAAGCTATCAAAGCAAAATGAGGAAGTAAAAAAGATTAATTTTGACATTTTCCTATTAAAATTATCACTGAATGCCGTATTTTCCTATGACATTTTGAAGAGAAAATAATTCCGTTTAAAAATTTTCATCCAGCTCTGCTTCTCTATGAAATGTTCCTTTTAAGAAAATATTTAATTCCATAAAGATGTTGGATGAAAAGAGTTGGATGAAAAGAGTTGGATGAAAAGAGTTCTAGAAATTGCTTCCAGATCAATCTTCAGTTACTTAGGCATAAACTGAGTAATATGCTCCACTCTGTATTTATAGCCCTCTTAGAGCAGATCAAAGTGGGAATAAAACCTACAACCTTTGACTTCACAAGGTATGATTACAGTAATGAACCAGATAGGCAGCAAAAGGAACAGATGTAGTGTCCAATACTGAGTAAGAATATAAACATGAATAATTCATAAGGATGATATTAGAGATAAGCACAATCAAGAAAGTCAAAGCCTCAAAGGTTTATGGGGAAGGAGAAGGAGAGAGGATGGAAAAGGAATGTCAGCCTCCAATGTGCTGGAGGGAAGCAGCAAACTGGAATTTGCACAGGATCCTAAGAAGGCCAGATGGTCTCAGAGGTTGTTTTGTTAGGATACTGATGTCCTGCCCTGAATTTCAGTCTGGTAATTACACTTGACCTGTTCAAATCCCTTGCAGGGTGCATGAGTTGATCTATGTGTTTAGTCAGTGTTTCAAACTATTAAGCACTTAGACTTCTGTTTGGATGGCTGTACTAAGCAAATATCAGGTATGTTTATTGTCCTCAAACCACAGTGGCATTTAAATGCTCACTAAGTGGAAAAAATATTTGAGGATGAAAGTTACTGATATTGAAGGGGAAGGGAGTAAACTCCAGATATTTACCTCCATTATTTTGTGCTACCTAAGCAGAACTCAGATCAAGAAAGGAAACTAGACTGTTTTATGCTAATTTAAATACAACTGTAGAATGTGTTAGCAACTCCTGTTTTTCTAATTCTACCATATCACCAGGTGATAACATCACAGTGGGTTTATGCCTCTGCCACCAAAGGAGATATACTTACCTTGCATTTAAAGGGTTTAACATCAGAGTGAACAATCATGTGGGCCTTGAGAGTCTGCTTTTGCACAAAGCTCTTGAAGCACAAATGGCATTGATAGGCTCTGATATTGGTGTGGATCAGGACATGTCGTTTCATGTTGGCCAGCAGAGTAAATTCCCGGCCACAAATTCCACATTTGTGCTCTTTCACACCCTGTAAGAAAAGAAAAAAATCAGAAAATTCTGTAGGTGGAATATTTTCTAGATAATTTCATCTTCAGCATATAGCAATGTATGAATTACTCATTCTGAATTAGCAAATCAGGTAATAAATTATTTCACTTTTAACATCATTTGCTTAAGTAATAGATACTCATGTATTTTTTTCCTGGCAAATTCTTACAAGAAGCAGAGAAGGAAAACAAAATGTAAGCTTAATGAAATAATGAGTTTTGTTTGCATCAGTAAGTTTACAAATCAATGAGACGTAGTCAGTAGCAGAGCTTCTGTCTTACTCTGCTGCTTATGTAAAGTATTGGTCAAAAGTGTACACTTATTGACCAAGAATAAAAGCTAACCAGTTAAGAGACTAAAGTAGTGCTTGCCTTTCATGATTGAACGTCACTGGCTTCTAAAAAAGGCATAGCCCTGTTTTGAAGAAAGCTATGTAAAATAATCTGAAGTAACTGAGAAGTAGTCAAGAAATATCACCAAATAAGGATACACATGTTACATTCAATGAAAAGAAAAAACTGTTCACTCTTAGTGGGACTTCCACTAACCCTAATGGAGTGATCCCATTTTATCTGGTGTTTACAAAGCATTTCTAGCACCTTTTATGCCATCCAGTCAATTTACTAATACATAATTCAATATTCTTGCTCACATCCATGTGTTCTAACTGTCAGCTCCTCAAAAGGTCATTTAGATGCTATGAAAGTCAATGACTTTACCACTAAACACTATAAGAATTTGAGTATCACTTGCTGAAGGTAATGAGGATTTACTAGTGAAATGCCCAGAGCAATTACTCCTCCTGCAGGCTCCCATTACAAAGAAGACTTGAAACGATCTGTACTTTCGTGCCAGTCAGTAGTTTTCACAGTTAATTGCAAAGCTAAAACTGTGAATGCAAACAGCAGCCTTAAGTGTCTGCGTATCTGATGTGAGGCTGCATTTGGGCAGCTAAGTACTGTTAATTATGTTCACAGCTGAATCCACCTGCAGCTGTGGACAAAGAAGCAGAAGCTCTCTAAAGGCTCAGGGGCATTGCATTTCCTGTGACAAAAAACTACCAAGTCTTAAATTAGTAGAATTTTGCATGGTAAATCCAAAGACCAGGGAATCTCCAAAAAGAGCAGAAACTATAATCATGTAGTAGGGAAGAAAAAGCAAATGTGGAAGTAGAGGTTGTTGGTTTTTAAAAGAAAATGTTTCTATAAGACTGAAATGCTGTAGCTTTCTGTATTTTTAATGTTTTTCCTATAAAAGGCAAAATTCAAGTGTTAAAGGAAGAATATGCAAAGCTAGAAGCAAATTTTTATAAAATGTGTGAGGTTTTGACTTGTGTTAACAACATTTTTGTAAAGGTGGATAAGACAATTTCAGACATGCTTGAATGGAACAGTTACATTTTTGAAAGCAATCTTTCTGGATATGTTCCAAAGCCCGCTCCTAGCCTAAACTGACTCTGCTGTCATTGCTGTCAGCAGTGGCAAGACTGCCACTTGATACGAATTGGCTGGGATTATAGTCCTGCTTGCCCACTTTTATTAACTGGCATTCTGGATAACTTATGCACAAAGGGGAATTTTTTTTAGGTGGGTTTTTTGTTGGGTTTTTTCCCTAAATGTCTCATTTCAATGGTTCTTCAAAATCTAATGAGTAATAATATACTTACTTTTGCTGCATACATACAGTCTACTGCAAATCCACCTACTTCCCAATTAAGGGAGCAAAGCAATAGAACTGGTTTTCAGCAGAAAATTTCTGTTAAAATTTCGAGGGTGTTATACAGCTTTACAAAATTATGTTATGTTACAGAATGTCATTCTGAAGATAAAACCCAGAAATGGAGAGATGTGAATACAGTTTTGGGAAGTAATACAGGTGGTTTAATTGAATTCCTGTTTATAACAAAGCTGGTTTTGTGTGTACTTTCTTAAGACTGACAGAGACATCTAGCTTCTACTATTGCCAGCACTGCTGGGGCTTTTGCTCTGCATAAAACTCTCTAGCTGGCACAGGGCCAGCATGAGGCTCTGTAGTCTGATTGCCTTCTTTCCGAGGAGGTACATACGTGTATCTTTAGTAGCCTGTAATCCTTGTGCTATCTTCTGATGCAAGGTGAGAGCACAACCCGTGCTGGCTTACCTTGTGAGTTAGGGAGTGTTGTTTGAGATGGTGGGGCTGTACAAACTCCATGCCGCATTCAGTGCAGATGTACGGGCGGATGTCTTTGTGCTTCATCATGTGGTTTTGCAGCTGACTCGGGTACTGGAAGGTCTTATCGCATTCAGTGCAATTGTACTGTATAGGGCCACGGTGGGTTGTTAAGTGTCTCTTCAGCTGGGCCAAGGTTGGGAAGTCCAGACCACACTCCACACAAATGTTCTCTCGGCCACTCTTGTGCTTAGACTCATGTGCTTTCAGCTCGCTGGGATAGGCAAAACCTCTGCCACAGATCCTGCAGTTGTAAGGCTTGATGTCACTGTGTTGCATCATGTGTCTCTTAAGGTGACTGGTTTGAGTGAAAGCCTTGTGGCACACCTGGCACTTGTGTGGCCGAGTGCCCTGGTGTGTCAACATATGTGTGTGCAAGTGGCTCAGCTGCTTAAAAAGCTTGCCACATCGGGTGCACGCATGTGGCTTAATGCCGCTGTGCCCCAAGATATGGGTGACCAAATTGTACTTGGATGTATAAGACTTCTCACACATGGGACATTGCCAGCGTTTCTGTTCACCCCCCACATCTACATAGTAACTCTCATCTATCTGAAGGTTGACATCTACTCTTTCCACTTTCTGTTTATTTTCACCGCTTTCTCTTGCTTCAGCCCTCCTGAAGGGTGGCTCTGGAG